GGGCTCCTGCTTTGTCTATTGTGTCCCCTGGACGTCTCGTTCCTGCGTCGGGCGCCTGTGACTGGGTGCCGCCTCTCCGACACCCTCGCTGCCCCTGTCCTGCCCCTGCCTCCCGGATCCCAGCTGCGGAGCGAGGGCAGTGGGCTCCGGCCCTGGCACCAGCCCCCATAGAAGCTCCACAAATATTTGTTGAGGAGGAGGGTGGCCTGGAGCGTCCGCGGGTCCCGGGGCGGGGGACGGAGCAGGGGCTGGACAGGAGAAGCTGGCGTCCAGGTGGGGAGAGGGCACCGTCGGTCAGCACGTGGGGGTCAGGGGCACCCCATGGCCTGGCCCCGCTCATTACCCTGGAACCAGCCAGCCCTTCTCTGAGGGGCTGGTCTTCTGTGTGTGGCCCCTGTGCCCCGGTTCTGTCCCGGCCCAGCCATGGGGACCCCTTGCCCCTGGCTGGTCGGCTGCTTCCGTGACACGGGCCTCATTTCTGAGCTTGTGTCCCTGGGAAGCTGGGTCTGGGTCCCGGGAAGGCACCTAGTCACCAAGCCTGTCCTCCTCCCCACCCCTCCTCTTCCTCCTCGTCCCCTCCCCACCCTACCCCCTCCTCCTCCCCACCCCTCCTCTTCCTCCTCATCCCCTCCCCACCCTACCCCCTCCTCCTCCCCACCCCTCCTCTTCCTCCTCATCCCCTCCCCACCCTATCCCCTCCTCCTCCCCAGTCCTGCGACCCTTACTGGCTGCCTCAGCTCAGGGCAGGGGTCCTCAAACTATGGCCCCCCTCGGGCCACATGCGTCCCGCCGAAAACATTTATCTGGCCCCATTTATCTGGCCCCGGGGTCTTTTTGCCGCCCGTAGTGCGCATGTGTGGAATGTCTGAGGGCCAGTGAGCTGGCCCCCTGTTTAAAAGGTTTGAGGACCTCTGGTCCAGGGCCTTCCTGGCCCTGGGTGTGGGCCGCCTCCCAGGAGCCTCCCACAGGCACCCGTGGGTGGGAGGTTCCCACGGCCCTGCCCAGGGTGGGGTGGGGCCCCGAACCCCACACCATGGCTTTGGGTGTTGCCTCTTATTCAGGTTGGGCCACTTTGCGGGTCCCAGACTCCCAGCCTGGAACGCTGAGCGGCAGAGGGGGAAACTCCTGTTCCCTGGTCCTCCTGCCCCCACCTCTCCCCCCCTTACCCCCCTTCTCTGGGCTGAGGGCCCCTCTCAGCATGCTCCCCGGCTTGGAGGCTTTGGAATTCTGTCAGTCTTCCCTACGCAAATTATATCAGGACTTCAGGCGGCACCAGGCATCTGCCAAGCTCATTTGAAACACAAAGCGTTCAACCAAACTGTGTTGTGTCCTCAGCCCACGGAGTACAGGGTCTGACACCTGACGTCCTAAAGCTAATTCCCTCCTCCTGGCAGGAAGGGGTGGCAGGAGCATCTGGGAACGCTGTGCTCTCAGGAGGAAGACAGGGCCCGTGGCCGGAGTAACTTGTCCTCTGGCGGGCGCATCAACCCTGTGAAGGGGCATCACCACCATTTTTCAGATGGAGAAGCTGAGGCTCAGAAAGGTTAATCAGCCAAAGTGACGCAGGTCATAACAGAGCTGGGCCCGAATGGCGATCCCACAGCCTCTGGCCTTCCCCCAACACCAAGCCGACGTCTGAGGAAAGGGACGTAGAAGCCGATCCCCAATCCACCGGTGGCCCCTCCTCCTGTCAACATGCGCCCGCGTTCCACAAAGCGGCTTCACACTGTTTTGTCTGTGATCTCCAGCACGAACAGCTTCACAAAATAATACTTGCCCTTTCTAGCCCGGCCAGCGGGGCTCAGTGGGTGAGCATTGACCTATGAACCAGGAGGTCCGGGTTTGATTCCTGGTCAGGGCACATGCCTGGGTTGCAAGCTCGATCCCCAGTGCGCAGGAGGCAGCCGATCAATGATTCTCTCCCTCCCTCCCTCTCCCTTCCTCTCTGAAATCAATACTATATAATAAAAGGGTAATATGCAAATTGACCCCAACAGCAGAACGACCGCTGGACCAATCACTATGAGGCACACTGACCACCTCCTGGTCCCTTTCCCCAACCATCAGGCACTGATCACCTGATGGCAAACGGAACCAGGGGTGGGTGGCAGCGGGGGGCAGGGCCGGCTGTGGGCAGATGGAGAAGATGGCCCTGGTTACAGGCCAGGCCTAGGGACCATATCCCCGCACACATTTTGTGCGCCAGGCCTCTAGTAAAAATTTTTTTTTTTTTAAAAAGCCACAGCCTGGGTCAGATCACCAAGGAGGGCCTGGAGAAGGAGCAGAGCTCTGAGCAGTGGCTCAGCTGGGCCGAGGCTGAGCCAGGGGAGAGACTGAGGAGGACGGGCCGTGTGGCAGGTGACCGCACGGAAGGGGGAGGCAGAAGACAACTGCGTCCAAGTCGCAGAGAGGTTGGTAAGATGAGGAGAGGGACCTCGAGATGAAGCGGGACTGATTGATAAAGGCAATGCTTTCAAGGAGCTTGCCGGGGAGGGTTGCAGAGAAATGGGACAGAATTTGGAGAGAACATGAATCCAGGGAGGGATGGGGAGAGGAGGGTGAGTGCAGGAGTGAGGAATGAGAAGGTGAGGGGGTGGAAGTCGGGCACCTCCCCCTGCGGGACCAGAGGGTGTGGTGCAGGGGGTTCAGGGTCGGCAGTGCTCACATCTCTTTTCCCTGAAGAGATGCTGGTGCTGCCGCTCCAGACGCATCACAGTGCACAGTGCCAGCCCCTGAGCGGGCACTGGTCTGGGGAGCCCTGTCCTGTGCACTTGTGATGCTGGGCAGGGGAGCAGCACACAAGGGTAACATCACAGAGGCAGCCTCGTTCAAGGGTGGAGGCCTGAGGAGCCTCCGGGTGCTTTGCCGGCCCTCCCTCTCCCCCGCCCCCCGCTGTTTAGACGCCTACAGTGGGTCCTGGGCACCCACATCCTCACCTCTTTGCAGACGCCTGTGGGAGTTGGAGGGCTGGATGCTGGTGCCCCAGAGTGCCAGGTAAAGGACACGGGGGCAGAGGGGACAGGGCCATGTGTGGGCGCCTCCAGCTGTAACAGGAGAGCCTTCTCCGCAGTGTACACACTCTCCCCGTGCTCTTCTGCTCTAGAGCAGAGCAGCCTGTTTTCTAAAAAAAATATTTTTATTGATTTCAGAGAGGGAGAAGGAGAGAAACATCCATGATGAGAGAGAATCATGGATCGACTGCCTCCTGCACACCCCCTACTGGGGATCCAGCCCACCACCTGGGCATGTGCCCCAGACCTGAATCAAACCTGGGACCCCTCAGTCTGCAGGCCGACACCGATGCTCTACCCACTGAGCCAAGCCGGCCAGGGCCAGCCTATTCCTCTTATGTAAAGTGGTTTGTATCTGAATCACCTCTGACAAAAAGTCCTGGTAAGAAAAGTTTCATCTGTGAAGCCCTACTACCACTGTAAGTATTTTAATAGCTCCTATCACATGGTCCGGCCGGTGTTGCTCAGTGATTGAGCGTTGACCTAGGAACCAGGAGGTCACGGTTCAATTCCCGGTCAGGGCACAGGCCCGGGTTGCGGGTTCCATCCCCCGTGTGGGGCGTGCAGGAGGCAGCCGATCCATGATTCTCTCTCATCATGGATGTTTCTCTTTCTCTCCCTTCCTCTCTGACATCAATAATAAAATAATAATAATAATAATAATAATAATAATAAATATATATATATATATATATATATATATATATATATACATATATTTAAAGCTAAATGGTCCAGGGAGAGGAGCCTGCTAACCTCCCCTGAAACACTGACCTGGCAGGGTTCCATGGAAACGGGGAGATTAGAGAATGTTGAGGCCCCGGGAGCGTAGAGATGACTGCGATTTCTTTTGTGTCCCGAATACGCCCCGTAAGAATCAAGAGCTGGTGACAAGCACAGTCAAGGCTTTCCTCTGATCATGTAGGAACAGAGGAAAACATTCTCTCCAGAGAGAAGCCACAGAGGAGGAAGGCGCACGCCGGCCTCTGAGGCCGAGCCAGCCGAGTCCCAGCAGCCCACCCTCGGGACAGGAGGGTTTCCCTCACAGTTCCAGGATCCCGTTCTGATCACGGCCTGTGAATAGGATTACGGGTTGGGGGCAATCAAGGGTCTCCTCGATTCAAAAGCAAAGAGAGGCACCCACGTTGCTTAGCACTTAGCGGCCCTTCGCGTCCAGCGATTTGATGAAATAGCTTCACTTTTGTTAGGAAAGGCAGGGAGGGCTGGCGAACATCTGTTTTCTAAGATAAACAGGCCTCCTCCCCGCAGAGGCCGCCATGCGTGCGAGCGTGCGGCTGGCACTCACCATCTGAGAGGAAAAACGTTGGTAAAGTGGAAGCTGTAAAGAGAAGTCAGCAGAGGTCCCGACACAGGCAGCCTCCCTCCTGGGTGGCGGGGGGAGCACGGCTACGTTCTGTGAGTCCCCAACGCAGGTGAAAAGACAGGCTGGGGCCCTGGCCGGTTTGTTTCACGACAGAGCGTTAGCTGCGGACCGAAGGGTCCCAGGTTCGTTTCCGGTCAAGGGCATGTACCTCAGCTGCAGGCTCGATCCCTGGCCCTGGTCGGGGCACGTGCAGGAGGCAACCAATCAATGTGTTTCTCTCACATCGATGTTTCTGTCTGTCTTTCCCTCTCTTCCACTATCCCTAAAAATCAAAGGAAAAATACCATCAGGTGAGGATTTAAAAATTTTTTTAAAGGAAAAAGAAAAGACTGGCTTGGGCAGTAATTCACGATGAAGAAGAGGGTCCGGCCGGTGTGGCTCAGTGGTTGAGCATCGACCTATGAACCAGGAGGTCAAGGGCACATGCCCAGGTTGTGGGCTCGATTCCCAGTGTGGGGCGTGCAGGAGGCAGCCGAACCATGGCTCTCTCTCATCGTTGATGTATCTATCTCTCCCTCCCTCTGCCTTCCTCTCTGAAATCAGTAAAAACATATTTTAAAAATAAAAAGAAGAGGAAGAATAGGGCCTGGAGGGTTTAGGGACGAGGCTCTGGGGGAGAAGGGGACGCTGTAGGCGTGGACGGGATGGGCCGTCCCCAGGGTGCATGTCCACTTTTGGCTGCAGGAACCGAGGCCCAGCACCGACACTATGCGGTGTTCCTTCAGACACCGCCTCCTGATCTCCGTGGCCGTCGGATTCCTGTGGCTCTTCCTCACTTTGCAAATCCCCAGCGACAAGGACGAGGATAAAAATGTAAAGGCCAAGTTGCTCTCAGAGGGAACTGAGGATATGGGGTTGGGGGGGGCGGTGGACAGGCAGACTCTCAAAGTGCCTGTCCCTGTCCACCGAGAGCAGGAAGCCTCAAAGGGGGTGGGTGTGGACTGGGACCCATTGGTCCATAAAGAAGCTGCATCCCCCCTTCCACCCCCCCCCCCCCCCCCCCCAACCCCATGGGCGGAGGTAAGAAAGGCAGCAAATACTGCTGGAGCCCGGATCCTCGGGCCAGTGGTCAGACGTCCTGAGAATGCACTGGGCTCACCGAGGGAGAGGGACCCACGCCCCCTCCCCTCCCCCTAGAGAAGCCGTCAGAGCTCAACCTGGTTCTTTTCCTGAAAGAAGGCCCATGCTTTGCTTTCGTCGATGCCCCAGGACAGTCCCGGCAGAAGGAAGGCCCCGAGACCACTAGCCAACTGGCAGGACCTCACCTCCAAATACATGAAAACGACCCAGCAGCGAAGAAAGAGTGAGTCCCAGGGAGGGGAGTGGGGTCCCACGGGAGGCAGGGGCGTCCCGAGAAGTCCGATAGCGAGGAAGGAGAGAGGGAGGAGGGAGGAAACGCAGCACTTTGCCCGGGAATGTCTGAATCTGGCCACTTTCTCCCCACCAAGCACCTACATGACAGACGCAGTTACTTGCTCTAGGGATTAGGGGACACCGAGACCAGAACAGGCCTTAGTCACATGGTCCCACTCCCTCTGGTTTACGGACCAGGGACGAGGCTCGGGGATGAAGGGACTTGCTCAAGGTCACGCCGTCAGTGGCAGGAAACCTTGGGGGGAACCTTGGGGTCCTGACTTGTAGGAGAAGTGCTTTTTCTAGTGCATCTTCTTCAGAGGAGAGCTTTGGGGCGACGACTGGGCACAAAGAGCTGGTAGATCCTGAGCGCGGGACCAAGCGCCATAAACCTCCTTGGAGGGAGCAGGGGACTCGGCATCACACAGCTCAGCGCTTCGCAAACCGAATGCGCACGCGAGGCACCTGGTGATGTCAGTCAAAGTCGGGCTCTGTTTAAGTCCAGGTCGGGCTGGGACCACGTCTGCATTTCCGGAAGCTGCCGGGCGAGGCTGGTGTTGCTGGACTGAGGACCACACTTTGGTAGCGAGGACTCGAACCTCCTCCAGGGAAAGGCAGACTCCATGGAAAATGGGAGGGGGGCCGGCTGGCGAGGCTCCGTGGTTGAGCATTGACCCAGGAACCAGAGGTCACCCATTCATTCCCCGTCAGGGCACATGCCTGGGTTTCAGGCTCGATCCCCAATGGGAGGTGTGCAGGCGGCAGCCAATCAATGATTCTCTCTCATCATTGGTGTTTCTATATCTCTCCCTCTCCCTTCCTCTCTGACATCCATAAAAATGTATCTAATAATAATAAAAAAAAGAAAATACGAGGGGGAAGAAAGGAAGAGGCCCAAAGATCTTCCCACCCGCCCCCCACGCACACTGACAGCTGTCCCTGTCTTACCCCCCAGCGTGGCTGACGGTGGGCATCTCCTCGGGCCCAGGGCGGGACCCCAACGGCCTCCTGTACACGCTGGGCAACCTGTTCCGCGCCTCCTCCAAGGTGGAGCAGAAGCACCTCACGGTGCTGGTCCACCTGGCAGACTCGGACCTCACGTGGCTCCGGGAGACCATCGTTCAGATCTCAAGCCTCTTCCACCCCCAGATCCTGGCGGGGCGGCTGGTGCTGATCCACGCGCCCCCGGACGCCTACTCCGCAGCGGGTCCCGTTGAGGGCCAGGAGGCCCGCTGCGGGGACGCAGCCTCCAAGCGGAACGTGGACCACGCCTTCCTGGTGAGCTTCGCCGCCCGGCTCTCCGACTACTTCCTCCTGCTGAGGGACAACACCTTCTGCGCCCCCAGCTTCCTCACCCACATTCGTCGGAAGGTGTGGGCCATGCGCGCCCACCCCTGGGTGCTGCTGGAGTTCTCCAACAGGGACTCCCTGGGCAAGCTGTTCCGCGGCGGCGACCTCCCCCGGCTGGCCCGCTTCCTCCTGCTCTTCCACGAGGACCAGCCCCTGGACCGGCTGATCCCACGTTTCAGCATCCTCCTGGCCCAGAGGAGGCCCGCCCTCTGCAGGCCCTTCCTCTTCTACCACCGGGTCCCCTACTACAGCGCCAACCAGGACCACCAGGCCCGGGCCGCTCAGAGCCGGGGCCCCCACGGCCCCCACAACCCGCCGGGAGCCGTGTTCACAGACATGAAGGTCTTCGGTGTCCACTTCCCCTGGGAGGCCTACACCCTGGATGAGTCTTTCTTTTGGACCCACAATGTCACCGCTGGGAGCCACCTGACGGTCATTCTGAACCGCCCCGCGAACCTGAGCCGAGTGCAGGTGCTGACGGGCACCATCGTGGAGGGAAAGCACGCCCTGCAGAGGGGGCAGGTGGAGCTGGGCCACAGCCCTGAGGGGGTGCCCCAGTTCTGCACCAGCTTCGTCCTGCTGGGCCAGCTCCTGGAGGGGCAGCTGGATCAGGAGGTGCTGCCGACACCCGCGGGGGCCGACGTGAGCTGCGTGAAGCTGGTGGTGAACGCCGACCAGGCGGGCGGGCTCATGGTCAGGCACATCTACCTCTGGGAGGAGAGCGCCAGGGCCACCGAAGCGGCTCAGGGTTGAAGATCGATCGGTAAAGGGTGCGAACAACTAAAGCCTGGAAGCCGTTTCATTCCAGCCCCTCTGAGTGGCCGGACGAGGGAAGAGGGTCAGAGGGAGACGCTCCATCACGCGTTCCGTACCACAGAGACGTCAGGAGGCCTGTCCCTTCCCCTTTGCTCCCAGACGAGTGACTTGTACAGTCTGTTTTTCTTTCTTTTTTAAAAATATTTTTTATTGATGTCAGAGAGGAAGGGAGAGGGCGAGGGAGACCAAAACATCAATGACCACTGGGGGTCGAGGCTGCAACCCGGGCGTGTGCCCTGACCAGGAATGGAACCGTGACCTCCTGGTTCTTGGGTCGGGGCTCAACCACTGAGCCATGCTGGCTGGGCTCATTTTCCAAACTTTTACTGAATCTCCCCTGCGAGGGGAGTGAGGGTGAGGGCCTCAGTGCAAACTTGTCTCCTGCAGGCCTCTGTGGGGAGCGGGCGCCCCCTGTGGACGGAATATTGAGATTCAGGGGCGAGCCCACTGCTGCTCCCACCTGGCACAGTGGGGGTGGGGGTGGAGATAGATGAGGGGTGAGGGGGGACTCCAAGGGGGTGCACACTCCGCCCACCGCCCTCCTGAGCCCGTCCCTCCTGCCCAGGAGCTTCAGGGGACCCAGGCAGGAAGGTAGGACAGGCCCAGGCAGGTAGGATGCCTGGCCCCTCCCCTGGTGGGTGTGGAGGGTGGATTTTCCCACCCGAAGGCCTGGGGGCAGCGTCCTTTCTTGCACGTGGGTGGCAGAGGCAGGCCCAGCTCAAGGCCGAGGCCAGAACTCCATCACCAGTTTTGTTTCTTGTTCCTTCTGTCCCTGGGAAGGAAGACCGAGCCTCATGGTGCAGGTCAGGTGGCAGGGACACAGGGTCACCGACATTCATCACCGTCCCTGGAACCCTCCGACCCTGAGGTCCCGGGAGGTCACCACCGCCCTGTCCACAGCCGGGTACCACAGCTCCTGCTTCCTGCCTCCCACACAAGTCCCTCAGCCAGCTCAGGACACACGTGTGCACGGGGCCAGCTCAGGACACGCGTGTGCACGGGGACAGCTCAGGACACGTGTGTGCACGGGGACAGCTCCGTGTGCCTGGGTCTCTCTCTCTCTCTCTCTCTCGTTTAACTCACCTGCAGGACCTCTTGTCGGGCCAGGATGTCCCTGCTCCATAGTTGGTACCCATTCCTGCTGCTCGGCTCTCAGCCTTGGCCCAGCATGAGACCAGCCTGGGTCTGAGACATCCTACCTGGCCCTTGACCTCTTCCTTCTGGTCAGCTGCTGCCCACCCTCTGAGACTGTCGCGGGTCCTGACTGTATTCACATTTCTACTCCCGTGTGTCACACTGCATTGAGAAGGGTTCCCATATCTTCCTCTCCTGTTTCTTCTCTTCCAGGCTCCAATGGGTCTGGGACCCCTAGGCAGTGGCCTTGGAGGGCCAAGGGCCCCAGTGTTGGGCGGGAGGGGGGGGGTGCTGCTGCCTGTTGGACCTGCCTTTCCTAGACTCACTGCATCCTCAGATGGGCCTGGTGGGTTCTCTCTCCCCTGAAATGCTTCTTCTTAGAAGACGGAAATGCTTGAATAGCATCTAACTCCTTCCTCCCATTCATGTGAACAAATAAAAGATGAATTCTTCTACGTTAGGTACAAGACAGGAGCAAGGGATTCCCACTTCCCACCTGTCGCTGCTGGATTTTAGGTGAGGCCTGAGCACCAAAAGCAACCGCCCCACTGCCCCCACCCACTCTGTCCTCGTCTGTGGTGCTGAGACTGAAAAACCTCGGCTCCGCAGCCGCTGGAAGGTTCCGGCACCATGCGGGGAGGGACAGAGGCAGAGGCAGTCATCACAGTGCTTCAGCCGGAGCCGGGGTGGGAGGGGAGGGCTGTGCCAGATACGTGATCTGCCTGTGTGGAGGGGTCGTGGACGTGACCTGCCGGTGGGGAGGGGCATCGGGACGACCTTGGGCCACACGGGGTCTGTCCAGTCCTCCTAGGATGGTGAGCAGCCTCCCTGGTCTGCACTTCTTTTCTGGTTTGGGGCCCTGAGAGAAGGTCATGGCAGTGTTTATGCAAATGAAGTTCATGCAAATGATGATCAGCTTGTCCCGCCCCCTGGAGCCTGCTGCCCTGGGTGGTGTGTACTGGGAAAACAGGAAGGAGCGGTCATGACGCTCCTGGTTTCTGGGTGAAGAGACCAGTGGAGCCGGCCCTACACGCCGAGCAGACACAGGCCCACCCTGGAATATGTGCCGGGCGGTTTTCCTAACTGCCTTCCCGCCCCGCTGAACCCCAACTCCACCTCCAACCCGAGCCCTTGGGTCCCAGGGGAACCTGGAGGTCGAGAGTCAGCCAGGAACAGCTTTGCAGACACACAGTCTAAGGTGGAAAGTCAACAGCCATGACACGGCCTTGGAGGAATGAAGACAAAGTTAAGGCAGGCCGAGGGCCTTGTCTCTTGGGACTCTGGGGACTGAGGGAACCGGGGGAACCCAGGAGCCGCAACGATGGAGGGAGATGGGACACCAGAGAGACCCTGTTAAGTGCAGGTGGCTCCCCGGCAGGGGTCCTGTCGTGGCCTGGGCCCTGTGCTGATGGGCCCTCAGATCCCATCCTCTCAGCAAGCCCCTCCCAGGGACCCCTCAAGCAGGACCCACTGATGAACGCTAATTCATTAACTAGCCCAGGTTAATGCTAACAACTAGACCCCCCGTCCCCTGTGGCATTTCTGGGCAGCCCTGCAGCTCACGGGTGCTTAAAAGACCAGATGCCCGCCGGCGTGGCTCAGTGGTTGAACGTCGACCTATGAACCAAGAGGCCATGGTTCGATTCCCGGTCAGGGCACCTGCCAGTGACTGACACCTGGACCTCCAAGAACATGTGTGGCCAGACCCTCTATGATAGTTCCTTTCTCGTTGGGGACCCCTTTGAGAATAAGAGGTATAGACCTTCTTGCCTAAAAGGCCCATAAGGATCTTTAGAAGTTATTTCTGGTGTTCAAAGCCCCAGACTAAACACCCCACCCCGTCCTTCAGAATCCTGGCTTGGGGACCCTGGGACCACAAGGCTTGGGCCGGACTGGCCTGTGGCTTCGGCCTCTACTGCCCTCTGCTGGCTGGCAAGAGGGAGGACAGGCACAGTGCAGGTTGCTCCCTGACATTGAAACTCAGTGCTTTCTGTCCGGATGCTTGGGGCAGGTACCCTTTCAGTGGCTTTCACCAGAACCTCTACAAGGCTGTGCCTACTTGGCTGTTAAAACCTTCCACTGAATTCTTAATTTTGGTTATTGGATTAAAAAATTTTTTTTGTTTAATCCTCACTCGATGGTATTTTTCCATTGGCTTTTAGACAGTGGGTGGGGGGAGAGACACAGAGAAACATGGATGTGAGAGAGACCCATCGATTGGCTGCCTCCCACACAAGCCCCGACCAGGGTTGGGGATCCAGCCTCCATCCGAGGACCGTGCGCTTGACTGGAATCGAACCTGGGACCCTTCAGTCCGCAGGCTGATGCTCTATGCACTGAGCCACACCGGCTAGGGCTGATGCCTTCTGATTTAAACAGTATTCTGTCCAGCCCTTCTAGCGGCCATCGGTGGGACGGTCAGTCCAAGTGACCTGTCCGTGCTTCTCAGCCGAAGTCCTTGCTAGTTACGTCCTTAACTCACATCGAGCAGCCTCCTGCACAGCATAGCAGCAAATATGTAAAATGTCAGCACACCACTGTCCAGCTTTGATTCTGGGTTAAAAAAGGTTTTTGTAGACAACGAGTCCTTAGGAAAATCCACCTCCCCCGCAGGAAGGCAGCTCTCTATCCTCAAAACAGTGAGTGCGAGTTCTCTGCCTGCCTTACTGTGTGAGGGAGACCAAGAGCTGACATTCTCATTGTGTCACAGACACTACATGGTTAACCACTGCGTCGACAGACCTCAACGTAACTCTTCAGTTTCAGCTCTCCTCTGCTGTTTAAAATCACATATTCTTGCCCTGACCGGTTTGGCTCAGGGCATAGAGCGTTGGCCTGCGGACTCAAGGGTCCCAGGTTCGATTCCAGTCAAGGAAGGGCATGTACTTTGGTTGCGGGCACATCCCCAGTAGGGAGTGTGCAGGAGGCAGCTGATCGATGTTTCTCTCTCATCAATGTTTCTAGCTTTCTATCCCTCTCCCTTCCTCTCTGTAAGAAAATCAATAAAATATATATTAAAAAAATCACCTATTCTTTCCCAGGACATACAGGACTATCATTTCCATTGTTTAAATGCCTTTATTTCTTTCAAATCAAACTGAAAAGGCAGGATAACAACTTGATATTTTTGGCTACTGGGCAACAGTGTTTGGCAATTCTCAAAAAAAAAAAAAAGATACAAATCATCACTAAGTATATAAAAACTTCATTAGAAATAACAAATGCAAATCAAAATGAGACTATTGTTTCTACTAAAGTGGCAAAATATATCTTTTTGAGAGAGAAACATGGATTTGTTGTTCCACATACTGGTGCATTCACTGGTTGATTCTTGCATGTGTACCCTGACTGGAGGTTAAACCCGCAACCTGGGCATATCTGGACGACACTCTAACCCACTGAGTTACGTGGCTAAGGTCAAGTAGTCTTTTAATGGTCACACATGCCCGGTGTTGGAACGGTTCAGCCACGCGAGCCTGTCTTCCTCTGGAGGGTAAATAGCACGGCCAGTCCTGAGGCATGTGCACTGCACACCCTGCAATCCCACGTTTCACCCCAAGGGAACAATTAGGAATGTGCATACAGGTTTAGCTACAATCTAACAGGATTGTTTAAATAAATACAGAAATACGATGGCAGACTATAAACAAGGGTGTACACCAGGAGATATCTACACGCAAGAGAAGTTGGTGTGTTGTTAAATGGACAGAGCAAGTTATAACAGAGTACAGTATGGGCTCATATTTGTTTTAAAAACCATACATACGTGTAGAACACATTGAGATGGACACACACAGCATTACCATTGGCAATTTGTGGATGGTGGAAATATGAGGGATTAAAACGTTTATGCCCATTTTTGTGTTTATCTGCAACGAATGGGCTCTTTCTGTGATTGAGAAAAGGAAAGAAAAGTCGAAGCCTAATTTTGGAGAATGCTTTGCCTGGGCTCGGCTGTGCTAGGAGGGGCCACTCGCCCGTAGAGGCGTCTACTTGGTTTTGTTCCTTCCAACCCGAGGGGAGAATTCTCACAGTTGTCTTTCTGGAAAGGCCATAATCATGGACGCTAGACCACTTGTCTAGAAAACGGTTCTCTCATTTCTGCTGGAGCTCTGACCGAGGAGGAGGAAGTACGCCAGTTGCACAACCACGCCCAAGGCCCACCTGTTACTGAGGGAGCCCTTAGAGTAAGCTCTCGGGGGGAGGGGGCAAGCGGACTCAGAGAGGCGGCCCTGAGTTAGTCCTCGTGCAATGCCAGGTCTCCTGGGCCTGAGAGGTGGGCGATGGGGAGGAACCTGGGCCTGGCTGCACAGAGTCCTGCTGAGGCGAGTCATTCCAGAAGAGAAACGACAGAACCACTAAAGTCCCAGTGGAAGGCTAGATACTTGGCTAAAAGCACGCGGTTAGAGCAACCCCCCAGCTGTAGCAACAGAGGCCTCTGGGTGGAAGGTTTGTATTGGGGGTTGGAGTAGAGATTCCAAATGAACCAGGCCCAGCAGGTTCAGTAAATGACATTATCCATTAAGGAAGTCTTTCTTGAGAACAAAGGAAGCAGTAACTTGTCCAGAAAAGACAAACCTACACACTCCTGTGCAATATGGCCAAGGCCTATTCCTCTGAGACCCCCCGTCCTCTCCCGGGGTCTTAGATCCTGGGAAAACGGCCCAGGCTGAGCTTTCCTAGGGTGGCTCCTGATGGGGCTCAAAGTCTGAATCTCAACGTACAGGCTGTCAACCTCATCAGGGTTTGAAGGGAAGAGGGGCCACATTCATCTTCACCACGAAAGGCTTCTATCAGCCTAGAGGTGAGGTTCTCACACCTGGCACAGAGGCGCACCCGCAGCGTTTCTGATTAAATACTAAAGCTTGTAAAGGTTATACGTTTACAAAGAATAAATGCTTGTGAAGTTAGCCACACAACAAAGTCACTCTCAGACATCTGTGTGCCTTCTTGAATGAGAGAGGAAAAAGGTGAAGCCTCCACTATCAGCACACGAGCATTGCGTGGCTGAAAGGTGGGTGATACTCGTCCAGAGCAAGCAGCAGGGGAGCCCCGGGTAAAGGAGAGCCCAGCAGGATACAGGGGTGAGAGAAGAAGAGTGGGATGAGCCGTGTCCGCAACTGGGGGAAGGGAGCTCAGGACATGGGGTAGCGCCACGTGACCTAGACGAGAGGTGCACGCCAGGCTCTGAGGAAGCAGGGTGGGCCCTGCCCGTTCAGCTGGATGTACCCACACTCGCAATTAGGACAGAGATGCAGCAGC